AGGCCAACAAGAGGCGAGGCCACATTGGATTTGGTACTGGGTAATGAACCAGGCCAGGTGTTAGATTTGGAGGTAGGTGAGCACTTTGGTGATAGTGACCACAATTCGGTTACGTTTACTTTAGCGATGGAAAGGGATCAGTATATAACGCAGGGCAAGAGTTATAGCTGGGGGAAAGGCAATTATGAGGCGATGAGGCAAGATTTAGGATGCATAGGATGGAGAAGGAAACTGCAGGGGCTGGGCACAATTGAAATGTGGAGCTTGTTCAAGGAACAGCTACTGCGTGTCCTTGAGAAGTATGTACCTGTCAGGCAGGGAGGAAGTGGTCGAGCGAGGGAACCGTGGTTTACTAAAGAAGTTGAATCTCTTGTCAAGAGGAAGAAGGAGGCTTATGTAGAGATGAGGCGTGAAGGCTCAGTTAGGGCGCTTGAGAGTTACAAGTTAGCCAGGAAGGACCTAAAGAGAGAGCTAAGAAGAGCCAGGAGGGGACATGAGAAGTCTTCAGCAGGTAGGATCAAGGAAAACCCTAAAGCTTTCTATAGGTATGTCAGGAATAAAAGAATGACTAAAGTAAGATTAGGGCCGGTCAAGGACAGTAGTGGGAAGTTGTGCGTGGAGTCCGAAGAGATAGGAGAGGCGCTAAATGAATATTTTTCGTCAGTATTCACACAGGAAAAAGACAATGTTGTCGAGGAGAATACTGAGATACAGTCTATTAGACTAGACGGGATTGAGGTTCATAAGGAGGAGGTGTTAGCAATTCTGGAAGGTGTGAAAATAGATAAGTCCCCTGGGCCGGATGGGATTTATCCTAGGATTCTCTGGGAAGCTAGAGAGGAGATTGCAGAGCCTTTGGCTTTGATCTTTATGTCGTCATTGTCTTCAGGAATAGTGCCAGAAGACTGGAGACGAACAAATGTTGTCCCCTTGTTCAAGAAAGGGAGTAGAGACAACCCTGGTAATTATAGACCAGTGAGCCTTACTTCGGTTGTGGGTAAAGTGTTGGAAAGGATTATAAGAGATAGGATTTATAATCATCTAGAAAGGAATAATTTGATTAGGGATAGTCAACACGGTTTTGTGAAGGGTAGGTCGTGCCTCACAAACCTTATTGAGTTCTTTGAGAAGGTGACCAAACAGGTGGATGAGGGTAAAGCGGTTGATGTGGTGTATATGGATTTCAGTAAAGCGTTTGATAAGGTTCCCCATGGTAGGCTATTGCAGAAAATACGGAGGCATGGGATTGAGGGTGATTCAGCGGTTTGGATCAGAAATTGGCTAGCTGTAAGACGACAGAGGGTGGTGTTTGATGGGAAATGTTCATCCTGGAGTTCAGTTACTAGTGGTTTACCTCAAGGATCTGTTTTGGGGCCACTGCTGTTTGTCATTTTTATAAATGACCTGGATGAGGGCGTAGAAGGATGGGTTAGTAAATTTGCGGATGACACCAAAGTCGGTGGGGTTGTGGATAGTGCGGAAGGATGTTGCAGGTTACAGAGGGACATAGATAAGCTGCAGAGCTGGGCTGAGAGGTGGCAAATGGAGTTTAATGCAGAAAAGTGTGAGGTGATTCACTTTGGAAGGAGTAACAGGAATACAGAGTACTGGGCTAATGGTAAGATTCTTGGTAGTGTGGATGAGCAGAGAGATCTCTGTGTCCACGTGCATAGATCACTGAAAGTTGCCACCCGGGTTGATAGCGTTGTTAAGAAGGCGTACGGTATGTTAGGTTTTATTGGTAGAGGGATTGAGTTTCGGAGCCATGAGGTCATGTTGCAGCTGTACAAAACTCTGGTGCGGCCGCACTTGGAGTATTGCGTACAGTTCTGGTCACCGCATTATAGGAAGGATGTGGAAGCATTGGAAAGGGTGCAGAGGAGATTTACCAGGATGTTGCCTGGTATGGAGGGAAGGTCTTATGAGGAAAGGCTGAGGGTCTTGAGGCTGTTTTCGTTAGAGAGAAGAAGGTTAAGAGGTGACTTGATAGAGACATACAAGATGATCAGAGGATTAGATAGGGTGGACAGTGGGAGCCTTTTTCCTCGGATGGTGATGGCTAGCACGAGGGGACATAGCTTTAAATTGAGGGGTGATAGATATAGGACAGATGTCAGAGGTAGGTTCTTTACTCAGAGAGTAGTAAGGGCGTGGAATGCCCTGCCTGCAAAAGTAGTAGACTCGCCAACTTTAAGGGCATTTAAATGGTCATTGGATAAACATATGGATGATAATGGAATAGTTTAGGTTAGATGGGCTTCAGATTGGTTTCACAGGTCGGCGCAACATCAAGGGCCGAAGGGCGTGTACTGCGCTGTAATGTTCTATGTTCTATGTTCTATGTCACTGCTTCCCCAACTGGGGTTTTGTATCCAGTTCTGGGCAACACTCCTTAGGAATGATGTGAAGATATTACTGAAGATGCAGAATAGTTTAATGAGAGTGATTCTAGTGACGAGGTGCTTAAGGTATGTGGATGAATTAGAGAAGCTGCATTTATTCTCCTTTTGATTAGAAAAAGTTGAAAGGAGATTTGATCGAAGTGTTCAAAACCGTAGCAAGGTCTGGTGATAGTGGATGGGCTGAAAATGTTTTTATTGGTGGAGGAATTAAAAACCAGGATACCAATATAAGGTGATTATCAAACAGATGCAACATGGGTAAAAGTTTTTTTAGACAATAAGTGGAGAATGCACTACCTGAGAGTGATGGAGGCCAATTCAGTCAAGGCCTTCAAAAATGAAATGGAAAGTTATCTGAAGAGAAAACATTTGCAGAGCTATGGGGGAAAGGCAGGGGCAAGGAACAAAGTATGTTGCCCTTCAGTGAGCCAGCGCAGGCACAGCGGACTGAATGGACTTCTTGAGCTGTAGTCATTCTACGCTTCTACAAAATTATTGCTTTACATGCCTGTCTGTGCTGGCCTGGGATATCAGAATTAAATTGGATTTGATATGCAGATGCCAATAAGTGCCATGAGGTATCTTGTCAGGAGGTGGTTGACAAATTCCAGGCCAACACTGAGTTGGTCTGCAGGCAAGTCTTGAAATCCTCGGATGCAGAGTGGAAGGGGTGGGCAATGACACAGAAGCAAGTAAGGTTGGAACAAAAATAGCTTGCAGTAATTTTTATTGGATCCAGGAGGAGAGCTTAGGTTTTATAATTCCAATAAAATGTAGATTAAAACAGTTTGGTGGCCAATCACTGAACTGCCTTCAGTGGTTTCTTTAACCACCCATTGTTTGAGTTAACTTTCTGTTGTCCACATGATGGAGGTTGCATTCTGTAAGCTCTGCCCATTTGTGCTACAATTTTATTTTGTGTTTCTGCACAGAACCCTGGTTGTCTGTTTCAGGTGGGTCTTCTGAATGCCTAAATTCTAATATGACAACTGGCACTTTGATGGAGCAGAGCAAATGCAGGAGGTCTTAAATCAGAATTGGTCCCACTATCCTTTATTTAAAACCTGAACAAAAAAAAGACAAAACCACTATGAAATTCTTTTGCTCTGTCAATACAACATACATGTAGTTTCTGTACAGATACTACATTATAACAGGAATTGTTAAGCTGTTGATTTTTGTTGAGAAGGCCGTCTGGTACAACTTGGGCTTCATGCCAGCCACAATGCCTTTACAATGAGTAGAATAGAGATGACAGCATAGTTCAAAGCTTTAAAATTTGAGGTAATCTTAAGAAAATGGCAATGTCAAACATTGATATAAAATTAGTATGAAATCTGAAGAGAGTCAAAACAGATTTATTTCTTTAAATTTAAAAATGGACAGTAATTCTAGATTATTTAACATTAGGTAGACTATTACAATTAACATTTTAAAACATATCTTCCACTAATAATTAGTAAGGCGTCGGTTTGTCAAAAAATATTTGAGATTTGGATACAAAAATAGATCTTCATAGGGCTAATACAAAATTAGATTAATTGTGTTAACCTCATTTGGCCATTATTTCCATGCCGATCAAAAAAGATCTGTCTATGCTGATCCCATTTTTCCACTTTTGACCATAGCCCTGGAAGGAACATAAATGAGAGCGAATACTAAAATACCTTGCCAAAATTTATTTTCAGTTGATCCATCCCAATGCATTGATTAACAGATAGTGATGAGGTGCAAAATGTTGCCTTGAACGTTGTTCATCTGTGGAAATGCATAACAGTGTTAAATGTTACCCCACTTTACATTTTTACCTGAATCTGGTAATACACATGGTCATTTATTTATGAAATACAAACAGAAAATGCTAGAAACTGGTCTCATTCGGCAGCTTTGATGTCAGTTTTCTGCAATAGTGGAAAATGTGGTTCCTGTCTTTTCCTCGACCTGAGAACCCATAAGCCGTGAATTGAACAAAGATGGACTTTGTCTTAATTTTTAAATAAATACTTGCAGTTATTAGTTCTGGAAAATGCTGACTTAAACACTTTTTACTGCATTTTTTTTGTAAAAATACAAGTGACAGTAAGTTACTATTCTATTATATTCATTTAAAGTCTCATCCAACAATGTGGTACTCCCTCGTTACTGCACTGGAGTGTGAGCCTGGGTTTCGTATTTGGGTCTCTCGGAAAAAGTTAAATGCAGAACCTACTGACTCAGAGCTACAGTGCTACTGAGCCATGCAGCAATGAATTGATTGTTCAATATCATTTGTGAATGCCAAAATTCAGTTTGATATTAGACAGTAAATTATATGGAAAGGGTTAAATTTGGAAGGTTATTTTAAACTGAATTGTCAAAATAAAACAAGGGAGCACATTTCAAATTGAAGACAGCGATCAGGAGATTCAAAAGAGAATGATCAGCACTTGAAATAGATCTTCAGATTGAATAGTGGAGGTTCAATCTCCTTGGCCATTTAAAGAACAATTGGATGCCATCATAGCAGGATATTAATGTGTGAATATCTGGAATTGTGATCTTATTAAGGGATATGATACAGTATAAATTTGTAATACCATTGTGAATTCTTTGTTTTAGAATGTGGTGGGAGGCTGAAGGCTGAAATAAAATCTAAGGATCTGTATTCCCACGCTCAGTTTGGAGACAATAACTACCCAGGACAAGTGGACTGCGAATGGCAGATTGTAGCAGAGAAAGGTTATGGAGTGGAATTATCATTCCAAACGTTTGAAGTGGAAGTGGAAGCTGACTGTGGTTATGACTTTATTGAACTATTTGATGGGTTTGATATGACAGCTTCGAGGCTTGGACAATTCTGTGGATCAGGGGTAAGAAACGTAACGCATTCAATGGCTTAGCAGGTTGTTATGCACTGACTATTTATTACATTAATCATTCCATTAATTGGTTGTGATACTGATGAATTCTATTTATTGGGTGTAACTACATTGTTAAGAAAATGTATAAAAGAATTGCACACATCTTACAACACAAATAGATGATTCAGCCCACAAGTGTATGCCAGTCTTAATGTTCCAATGATCTTCTTGCTCATTTTGTCACCTCGACAAATCTTTCTATCCCTAATATCTGTATTCAGATTTTCCTTAAATAATGTAAAATGCATTGACCCTGAATTTCTGTGGGAGTTGGCCCAGTTAACCCTTTATAACTTCGAGGGAACATTTGAAGATCTCTGGAGAAATGGTGTCATTAACTGTGTTCAAGTGTTTACACCAGTTACACCTGCTCTAGGTCAGGCCAAGTAATTACCAACATCCTTGAAGGGGAATCCCACAAACATTGAAGGTCATTGTTTTCTTGAATACTTTGCACCAGCAATGTATATAGCATTAATCAACATTAAACAATGAAGTATAACATCCACTATATTTTAAACGAATGCAGTTTTAAGAGATACAACAGAAGTACAATATTACAAATACTGAAATTAGAAGGCAGAAGCTCATTAGATTCAAATACAAATCAAAAAGAGCAAAAATATTATTAAAGTATTTTTTGAAATAAAGTATTTTCAGCAACCCAAATGTTGGCAGCATTGTTTACAAGATTAATCTTGGGGAGCCTCAAAAGCAACTTACGTGAATAGAATGTCTTTGACAAAAGTAATGTTTATAAAACTGACAATTTATTTTCATAGAAACTGTTTGCAATATTCTTATTTTAAAATATAATGATTCTCAGGATATGGGCATTGCTGGTAAGGCCAGTGCTTTTTAAATTCTTTCATGGGATTTGGACTTCATTGATGACAAGGCCAACATTTATTGCCAATCCCTAGTTATTCTGAGGCATTAGCTATTTACAATCAATGTTAATGAGTTAGATGAAGAGATCAAGAGTAACCTTTCCAAGTTTGCTGGCAACGCAAAGACTGTCCACTTCCACCTCTGTGACATTATAGGTGATTGCTGAAAAATAAGAGATGCTGTCAAAGCTTTTTACCATGACGAGCTGGGGCAGCTGGGAACTGTGAGGAAAAGGAATAGGGGAAATCCAGGGGGGATGTGGAAGTAGACAAAGGGGGAAGAGGGTTTCCAGGCTCCTGGACTCTCCTTGTCACATCCCCATGCCCCTGGACATTCTTCGCTTTGCAATCTTGGGGCTTCCCTCTGTTCCCCATTACTGAAGCCCAATTCAAAATCACGTGCGCTTCCCTGCGCATGCGCTGTAATGCATTTGTGCATGACGTCACACGTAAAGTAAAAGTGATGACATCAGTGCTTGGAACAATGTGTTCCTGGATGACTGCACATATGAAGTTGCCCACAGTTGTCAGTGTCAGCAAACACTGTTGTTCAGACATCTAACACTCATCAGGACAGGCTTACAAGAATGCCAAATTTCAAAGGGACAGCATACGCTAACAAAGATCAGCAAATGGACTCTCAAAATGGTTCAGTTACATGTGATAGAATATGCATATATTTCTATGCCAGGCCCTGTTCTTTTTCAAGAGAGGAAATGTCCATTGTGCCTTTTCAGCTATACGAGAGCTTGGAGTACACTGTTCCCTGATGCATTCCACTGACAATGCCTTGATCAGTCACAGTCTACCTGCCTGGTTTGAATTTAAACAAAAACTTGTGGGATAACAGCTCTTTGGTGCATTCCCAATGCCAACGGCTCTATTAAAGGTCCACTTAACAACCAAGCAGTACCTTTCTGAAAGTAATATACATTTTCCTTTTGAAATTTGGTATTCCTCCAACTCTGCCCCTATGAATGTAAAATGAAAAGTTGCACCTGTATGGACTGAGTTTGTGTGTTTTTGGTATAGTATAGAATATGGGCAGGTGCTGACGTAACTATGTACCCGCTGCATATATAAAAAAAGTTGAAAGTACATTCAGCACCTTTTTTAAAACATACATTTTTTAAAATATTGGGAAGGAAAGAAAGTATAATCTTTAGAGGCGCCATTTGTCATTTGAGCTGCTGCTTAAGAACTACTCGTTATGATAAGCAAACCCTCCATGTCAAATATCCCGAAGTTACTTCATTCCAGAATCCACTGAGACTCCTTTATGGGGTTGGTTGTCATCCCAACAATGCCCATGACTAAGCTCTGACATTGGCAGGTCCATTGGAGCAGCCAGACAATCTGGCTGGCAATTCCAGAGCATGGGAATTCTTCCCAAATCAAGGCCAGAAATCACAACTGCGACTAGTTAATGCTGCCCACAGAAAGTTATTGCTGTGAAGTGAACCTTTGCTGGTTGGACTCTGACTGACTTTTGTGAAGGAGGGGGAGGGGGAGGGGTGTAGGAGGGGAGGGGGTGGGGATGAGTAGCCAGCTCTGCTCCTAAAATTTCCAAACCCAATGTTTCAGCACCTACTCAAGTTCTGTACTACATAGCAAAACCTCTTTGGCACTGCCTCAGCCTACCTGCTGCTGAAAGCCTTATTTTTGCCTTTATTGTTTATTGTATGCATCTTTTGATGGAGTTTATTTGACACCTACAGACTTGCTGTTCAAAACTCAAATATTTTAATGGTCTCCTGACTGTTTTCAAAATTCTGCTGTCAGCATCCTAACTTGTACTATCACCTGTATGCTGTATTCCTTGACCAGTATTAACACCATTCCAATTCCACCACTGTCTGAACTTCAAACATCTTGTTCCTGCGTTCAGGTCTTTACACGATCTTGCTGCACCTTATCTTTGTAACCTACTCCAATCCTACAATTTTTTTTTCATTTTTATAGCCGCCTGAAGAAATCTATTCAACGGGAAATGCTATTTTACTTCATTTCCATTCCGATGACACAATTAACAAAAAAGGATTCCATATACGATACACAAGTACAAAGTTCCAGGATGCTCTTCAGACCAAAAAGTAGCCTGACCCTCAATACTCTCCTTTTCCCTTTTTATTTGGCAAAAGCAAGAACGATCTGAACTATTTTATAATGAGACCATAGTGAGGAACTGAAGAAAATAAGTTGTTGAGGTGCCTGTGTGATGGTGAAGTACCCTGGCAGAAGATTCAATGAAAATGCGAAATGCAGACTAATGATTAGTCTGGAAGTTAAACTGCATTGACAAGATACTGTATTCCTGCAGCACGGTTATAAAAGTTTGTGAGCTGTGTCGGCTTTGGTCACTAAAGGCTGCAGAACTTCATTCGGTGAAAATAGCCCTCCGCAAACTGCTCTTCATCTCCGCAACCTACAATATCCATAGGAATGAATCTACATGAGACCACAACCAGCTTCTGTGTGTATCATTCACAGATTTTTTTTTTGCCAGACATGCAAAGATAATACAAGAAAGAATGATGTATTCTAGTGTACTGTTCAATTTTCAACATGTCGTTTAACAATATAAAGGCAAACCATTCACCACTTAATTTATGGGGTTCTACCAGTTTTTTTTTCCCATCAAAAACAAAGCTATCTTTACTGGTGACTATCACCTGTGATCATGTCTCTCTGTTACATGACTTTGTACTGACAAGCACTGTAGCAAACTGTGAATTCCTTCAGTACCAAAAACAGGTTTAAAACATTGAAAATCCTGATAGCATTTTCTATATTTTGCTATTTGAGTGTTCCAGGATACTTTTTTTAATATATGTGTTAGTAGTTTGCACTTAGAATGAAATCATGAGGCCTGGTTTCAGGCTGCAGCTATTCTCTGGACTGTATTATGTAAATCATTTGAAGTTGTAAGCATATGAATTGTATGTGTATGAAAATTAAATTAATAGATAACCAGATAAACATAGTGTTCCTATAATACAGTAAGCAAAATGGTCACAAAATTCTAAAAATGAAATTGCTAACTACAATTCCTTAAAGTACCCTTTTAGCTATTCCATGTGCTGAACAATCTGTAATTAAACTGAAGTGCTACATTTTTCAGTAGCAAGACAAAACAGAAAGGTTAAATATGTAAACTATATTCCTAGTATTCAAGTTCAACTTTGGGATACTGGATGTCTTGTTAAAACTGTGGATGAACCAAAGCTGAAGCTAAGAATTACACCCCTGGAAGGATGAATAAACCACAAAAAATATAATACAAGACAGATTTCTTATGGTGCTACTCCATGTTCAGAAGCTTTTTGAGTTTATGAGCCAACAATTTCGAGGGCCTTGTATGATTGTCAAAACTAGTTCGGTATAATTTGAAGGACAGACAAATATCAGCTTGGGCATAAGATGAGGTTATCACGCTACTAAAACACAAGTCCTATGGAGGCTGACATAATTAATGCCTTAGAATGATTAATTGTAAATCCTTGCACATGACAAACACATCTGTCTGTGAAAAAAGGCTTTGACTATGTTTCAAAATAATTGAACATTTTTCTTATCATTTTTTGCCATCTTAAAAAGAAGTTCATATAGTTGATCTGTTTAAAAGTAATGTAAGAATGAAATGTTTCAATGTAGCTGATGTATAGAAATGCTGAGTAGCCTGTTTCTAGATTGAATCACCAATGTCCATCCATTCTTTTTATGTTCCACCAAGAGATCCATAATATTAGACATTTAATTAAGACATATATGCATTATTGTGTTAATTCACGGAGGCATTATAAGACAAGGTGCAACTTCTGTGTTATGGCTGAATGGTGAAATTGTTACAGTATGTGCCAAGTTCCACTTGAATCTGTTTTGATGTAGCTTATTTGTTCTTTTTGGGTTTTTTTTTGCTGTTGTTTATAATCAGACAATTGTGGCTTCTGAAGCTTCTCATTAAAAAAAAAAACTTTCAGGTCAACATTCAGGAGTAAAATCAAATATTGCATTGCAGAAAATGTTACTTTGCAATGTTTTTCACACAGTAGATTGCTACTTAAGTCAGCAGTAATTAACCTATTTGTATCTGTATTATATCCCAAGTCCGTCAAAATGTCACTAGCACCAATAAATATGTTTTTACATACATTTACCTGAATGTCAATTTATAATTTATCCAAAAGCAAAGTAATGCGAATATTGGAAATTTGAAACAAAATAGAAAATGACTTAAATATTGAGCAGTCAGGCAACATCTGTGGAAAGAGAAAGTTAAAATTTCATATCATTGACTTTTGTCAGAATTATAATTTATCCTAGATCACATCATTGTATGGTATCTTAATTTTAAAGCCACAAATCATTATTTCCAATTTAGGATGGCTCCCTTTGAAGAATGATTGATAGATAATACAAAATATTTATATAACATTTCTGCACTGGGTTCATCTGTGACATTCTCTGTATTTAATAATCTACCACCACTCTTATACAAAGAATGGCATTATAAATGAGCCATTGCTGCTGGCATCAATAGAGCTGGGTTACAGTTAATACATATGGTTTTAAAGAGTGAATTACAGGGAAAAATAATTGTGTACTAATGGGCAAGTCTAGCTTCAAAGTGTAGCCTCCAACTTACATCAGCAACAGCTTTGAACCAACATTAAGATCTTAAAAGGAGTATGATTCTAATTGAATTCTTGTGAATCCTGACACTATCATCAGAAGAAGTTGCAAGCAAGAAACCAAATAATTTGACCCAGCTGAGCGAGACGTTTTAAAACTAAAACTTCAGCATCTAATTGAAGGAGGGCAATCATTTTTTTGGAAATTTGTCCATTTAAATTCTTGAGAATAATAAATTATAATAAGAACTATAACAATCGTAATAAGCTGTACTGAAGCTAAGAGTGGGAAGAGATGTCTACAGTGAAATCCTGCAGTTAAATGGGATGGGACTGATACAATGCCAAATCAAATGAGTGGGTGTGGACGGCACTTGAACCCTCCTTCCTTCTGGTTAATTTAAGTAAGTGTTAATTTTGCAAGAGGAGGGTCCATGCTGTAAAACCAAATAAATTGAGCCTGAAAAGAAAACCAACCTTAATAATAGTAATACAGCATCAGTACTTAGACTGCATCTGTGCTTTTGTCCCAAACTCACTTCATTGATTACCTACCATGCCCTGTGGCGCTCCTCTCATCTGATGCTAGTTTGATTCTCCCACTTGCCACAGTGGAAAGCAGTTCACTCTGTCGGGATATTCCTGAATCCATATCACTGGTGCTATCTTTAAAAGGCTGTTGTTCACCCGGTCAAGCACTGTCATTCTGGAACTGCCCCACACAGTTTGTGATAATCGCCCCAGATTTGTTAGATTAGGAGAAATTGCTGCTACTCTTTGCAGACAGGGGCCTGAATTTCTGGTAAATGTGGTGGTGCAGAGGAGGAATGTCCTCTTCCCACTGCCAGGGGGTCCGGGACCCTGCCAACCTGGGCCAAGTTTGTCACATGAGTTAATGTGAGTCCAGCTGTCTGGAGGAAGTTTTTAGGAAGAAGATCAATGACCACTTCTGCTCAGCAGGGATAAGCGCTACCGTCATTCTCTCTGCAATCTCGCACTTAGCCTGTCTCGACTATAGCATCCACCTCCCAGCAAGCCACATGTTCTACCGCTCTAAGTACAGCATTCAACATTGTCATTCACTCTTACCCACCAATTTCTCCTACACCACTAGCCCTGCCTGCCCTTCGCATTACTTATTTGAGATGTGGCATCACCTTTCTCCCACCTGCAATAGTGTTAACAACTGTGCCTCCCACTTTCATTGCACTCACTCTCTCCATTTCCATCCCTCCCTTTCTCTCATTCCAGGAGTTACCAACCCACAAAAGACACTGAGGGAGTAAAGACAAGTAATGGAGTGCCTGACATTCAGCTCCTCACCCTCTAGGAGGAGATGACCTTGATCCTGACCATCCCAAGCAACCTAATGACTGCACCCTACCTCGTGGACTGAGTTTGGAGGCTGGCCATGACTGACTGGGCCAATAACTCCTGAGTGAAGGATGTCTTCCTTGACTTAACTGAGGATGATTCTCCTTAGACTTTGAGACATGACTGTTTACTGCAGCACAAGCAGTGTGTTTGGTGCATGCACTGATGACACGTGGTGCAGTTGAGGGATTGATATATCATGATGCCATACAGCACTTGTCCACTCCCTTGACTAATGACTGCTGATGTCCATGGTGAGCTTCCTCCTTTGTGTCTCCGCTCAAAGACAAGTCACGACAGAAATACTGTGCACCAGTTTGTTAGCTGTGACTGAAAGGGTATGGAGCTTATAAGGCAGGACAGTTAATGAGAGTGTGCTAAGAAAGCACATGTGCAGATGCAAGCCTGATCCAATTTGTGAACTGGGTGCTTGTCCCTGCATGAAAAATATCCTCGCAGCATTGTTGCAATGAATGGTGCCAGTTTGTCCCATAGCACTTGGAGCTGTGCCATGATGGTGTGGAGAAGCTGGCACATGTCAGATGCCAGTGTTCATTAATGTAAGGTACTTGTGCCCTTGCCCGTGAAGTGTGCCTTGAGATGTTGGTGCCAGGTGTCCAAGGTGGAGGTTCAGGAGCAAAATGTGAGGTGGAGTCAACAGGTATCCACTCAGACTTTCATATCAAGAATTCTTGGCTTAAAGTTTCCATTTGATGGGGGATAGTATAAGGGAGTGAATATTAATAAAGTGAGATGGGGTGACAATGAGTGATAATCCATGATAATAGATCTCTCACTGCTCACCAGTGAGAATTCTGTCTTGATGTCTGGAGTTTAGGTGGAAAAAGAGACTTGTTACTCCCAACTTTGAGAAAAGCCTCACACAGTTCCTCACACGATTGTCTCTAATTTCTCTTCCCCAGCCCATGTTATTCAACATGTGGGAAGATTGCACTGGTAGTGTTTTTTCCTCCTTTTAGATATGTTCACATTGGAATCTCACAATGATCCTTTCGAGGTACTTTAGAAATTAGAATGTGTCCAACCACATTTTCGGAGGATGTCTGCTTGAGTGTAAGGACTAGCACCTTGTTACTTGGCCAATGTTGTTTGCCCTCAATCCCACCACATCTGAACAACCCTACCTCTGCCAGGAACATCAAAGTGCATCGTTGCCCCCACAGCACCTTCCAAACATGTTGTCTCTACCACTCAGTGTTTCTGTGCATTTCCACTTTTTTTCTACCAGCTTCAAGATTTTCATCCAGCCGCACCATCCTGACTTGAAACTGTTGTTGTTCTTTCGGTATGACTGGTTCAAAATCATGCAACTCTCTTCCTAATAGTGCAGTGGGTATAGCTACACCCATGGACTGTTGTAGTGTAAAAAGGCAGCTCACTACAACCTTCTCCTGGGTTAGTAGACCTGGGCAATAAATGCTGCCCTAGCCAGTAGCTCCCACGTGTCATGGACAAATTTTTAAGAAATGACATCTTTAAAGATCCCATCCATTTGCTCCTCCAGTCTGTCCCAGTTGAATGCCTGACATGTTAAGGTGCATACAGGTCTAAGCCCAGAGTCTGACTGAGAGATATTTGAGTTTCCAGCAAAGTATTGCCTCTCACCCTGACGGAAGCTTCCCTAGTAATGACCTTAGTCTTCAAGATAGACTGCAGAAGGCTTCAATCTACATTTATTGGATGACTACAGTTTCTTTTCACATTTTAGCAGACATTCTCATCTCTACAGTGTCTGGTTTAGAACCAGTAGGTGGCGATCATGAGATCAAAATTGTTTGAAGACTTAATTGAGGTGACCTCAAGTTTTACTGCTTGATTATCCAGTCACAGATTGATGCAATGCAGAAGAGGCCTTTCAGCCCGTCATCTCTGCACCTGTTCTCTGTGTGTTTGGGACTGGACATAAAATAAGTAAAAGAACACGGTGGAGGTCCTGTGCTAATTCTGTGTCAACCAACATTAACTCTGAAGGTGAATAAACTTGTATGGAGTGTTAGTCGATGTCATCAGTTTCTTGACCAGTGGGATTAGATTAAAATTGACCCCACTTTCCAGAATTACTCCATATATACCCTTTTTGTGATTTAAGGTACTTTAACTACCATTGAAAATGATCAAGTCCCGAATTCATAGTATATTAGCAGATCTCATGTTGCCTGGAGGGAAAGTAGAGGAGCTACTGCTAATAGTGTTATTATCTCTGCAAAGAGAGAAAGCTCCTGTTTTAATTTAGTTCAAACTTAGATTGCTGCAGTAATGTTTGGATAGTGATGTCTGTGACATGAACTGCTTTTGATAGGTGTGAATAAGTTTTGAATATGATAAGATCAATCACATATACATTTTGAAAGTGATGAAGCAAGTTGAAAGGCTTTTCAAAAAAGTCATAAATAAGAGGCGTTGGGAGGAGTTTGAATATTAAAAATAGGAGAGTTTGGGTTGCCTGAGAGGTGATGAACCCAGCAGCTTTATTGAGGATTTGGTGGATTCAGTCAGCAAGTACTTTCATGGCTACATCCTCCAAAATCAGCTCCCACCGCCACTTTCCACCAATCCTCTCTCATAGGCTTCGGAACCCACAGGCTATTCCCATCACCACAGAGGCTTCAATCCCACCTGCCCCAGATCCTCAATCTTACCCCCAGCTCTTCAATCCTGTCCGGTGGCTGAGTGGATAAGCCTTCTCCCAACTAAACCACTGACCCAGCCCCAGGAATCTCTGCCATCTTCCCAAAGCCCCACCTTCTCTCCAATCTCCCTGTGTTACCAAACCCAGCTTTGACCCATAAACTTTCAACCCTGTACCTTCAGCCTCCATGTTCACACTTAAACCACCTATCCAGTTACTCAAACTCTACTTTGACTCCTAAATTCTCTCATGCAGACCTAATCTCTTCCCTGCTGCTGACCCTTGACCTCTTCCCATATGCCCACTGCTTCCCTGGACACACTGTGTCTCTCCTCACCCGGATCTCCAAACACCCTCCAAGGCCATTGGACAATTCCCTGGATGCCTGTCTATGCTTGAGCCCCATAATCACCCCTTCCCCGCCTCTCCCAGCACCCTATGATCACCGCCTGGAAGACATGACCTGGGATGGTAGGATAAACAGGTTTAATAGGACA